ACACTTTTAAAGAGTGCTGTTGGTATCATTCAAGATTTCCCATCAACATTAAGATTATCATATGCTGCAATGTTGGTTAATTTCGTTTGTTTTATCTACCCCCGCACAAACGTCGTTCGTGTAAATAGAGTTTATGAAGGTGGAGTTCAAACTTGTATCAACATATACCTTGTTTTCTCACTCTACTGGACATTCCAAGTAATCAAGAACACTCTTCATACCACCATCTCTGGTCTCTTCGCAACTTGGTACTTCCAATCTGGTCCAAATGGTGAAGGTATGCCACCAAATCCAACATTAAATTCATTCAGACGTGCAACCACAACTTCATTTGGTTCAATTTGTTTCGGTAGTTTAGTAATTGCAGTTATTCAAACATTACGTTATATTACACAACTTATGATGAACAACAAGAATGGTCTTATCAGAGTCATTGGTTTAATCCTCAACATTCTTTTAGGAATTATGGAAGCAGTTCTCTCGTTCTTTAATATTTATGTATTCACTCATGTCGCAATTTATGGTGAAAGTTATGTTGCAAGTGCAAAGAGATGTGGAAATTTATTCGCTGAACGTTTAGGCTCAACTATTATCAATGACAACTTTATTGGTACCACTATTAGTATCTCTGCTTTTGCTGCTGCTCTTTTATTATCAGTTATCGGTTCATTAATTGGTTATGGTTTCCAAGGTGCTTTCTATGGTGGTATTTTAACCTTTGTTTTTGGTTTATTAGTTATCGTCAGTTCATTAGAGGTTGTATATTCAGGTGTCGTTTCATTATTTGTCTGCTATGTATTAAATCCATCAATCCTTTATCACACCAAACCAGAATTATATGCAATTTACTCACAAACCTATTCATTAAGATAGATTAATTAAAAAAATAAAAATTTTAAAGGATTATAAAATTTTAAAATATAATTTTTTATTGTATTATAAAGTTTATTATTTTCTTTTTTTTATGTGGTTTGTATAGTGGATGGTTATCTATTTGATTTTGATATTTTTTAATCATAATTTCAATATTTTTAGATTTTGATTGTTGTTGTAAAGATTGTTGTAAAACTAGTGTAAATTCTTTAATATTATTATTTGGATGAGTTATAAATTTAACAAAATGCTCCAACTGTGAAATATCAAATGGAATTTCAAGTGAATAAATATTTTGAGTATTTAAATAAGGTATTTCTGATGATACCAAAGAGGATGGTAATGGTGATTCGCTATCATTTGTACAAAATAATTGATTAATTATATTTGTTGAATTTAATAATGTATTATTATATCTTAGTTTTAAATGTTTAATTTCTGATACTAAATTAATTGGGAATAGTTGAATCTTTGGTAGTTTTTGATTAAAATTTAGATCATTATGGTATTTGAGATTATTGATATAATCGATTTCTTTTAAAACTAATGTTTTAATTGTTGAATTATTTGATGATGAGAAGGAGTCGAGTAAAGTTCTATCGCTGATAAAGTCCCAGTTGTGTAGATTTAAATAAGTGATGCTTTTATTTCTTGAAAGAAAAGAGTTTAGACTACTAGTAACCATTGCAGGAATTTCTTGAAATTTATGACAGTGAATACCTCTAGAGCATCGATTTATTAGTGTTAAGTTTAAAAGTGATTTATGATCAGATAAAGACTCGATCATCTCGTACCAACCCCTATCTATTGACCATTCTTCAGACTCCATTAGACCGCCTCCATGCTGTCTACCGCACCCATTTTCGTATGTGTAAAAGCCACGATTACCAAATTGATGAACACCAGTATTAACTCTACCATTATTAATATCACCAGAGAAATATCTCATGAGATCGTGAAATAATAATGATATAGTTAATGTATGCAGCATTGGTAAATTCTTAACCATTGAAACTATGTATGGATCCACATGATCACCCCCAATTTCAATACTTTGTATCATTGAGCAGTTCATTTTGAATAGCGGTGAGTAATTTACATGGTAGGTTAAATCTTGGTTGCTATTATTGAATCTCCATAGAAAGCATTTTAAATTCTTTGGTTTTAACTTGGATATAGCTTTAAAATCATCATCTTCATTTTGTTTGTGCTCCATATCTATATACAAGTTTTCAATTTTTAATTCGCAAGTTGGATCTTGCTTTAAATATATAATCGAGTCGTTGTTGGAGTGATTGGTGTAAAGTCTAACGTTGTAGTGTACATTATCTGATATCTCTCTTTCATACTCCCATAATTTTTTTAAAGTTTGTTCAGTTATTAAATTTATAATTTTATTTTTTTGTAATTTATTATTATTATTGGTATGAATATTATTTATAGATGAACTAGTTGTTGAAAGATCGAAATAATGATTAAGCAATTGAATATCAATTTTAATTAATGAATTGGTAGTATTGATTTTTGGGGATTTTAAAGTAATATTTAGATTATTATTTTTATCATTGCTATTGTTTATATTTACATTGTTAAAATTATTACTATTATTAAAAAAAGAGTTATTATTACTACTATCATTATTAACTATTTGGTTATTGTTTGTGTATTCACTAATGCTGCTGTTTATCTGGTTAATGAAGTGATATTTTATTAATTTCCCAATTGGCAAGTTTAAAATCTTTTGTTGGTAAGTTGGGCTGTCACTATTAATATCGACCTTAAACCATTGGCCTATATTTAACTCTATACAATTTGATATAGTATCTGAACAAACTTTATTCCATTTTTTACATACTAATGAATAGTTAATAATTTCTTTTAAATTGAAATAAAATTTACCAATGGAAAAACCTTGATATTTTCTACTGTATAATAAATATTCTATTATTAATCTGATGATTCCAAAATCTATAATATCTGGAAACACTTTAACTAATCTTTGGTTTCTTCTTTGTCTTTTCTTATTGGTTTTAATTCTTTTTATTAACTGCTCTCTTGTACCTTTATTGGATATATTTAGTTCTTTGGTGATTTTTTTTAACTCTTTAATTGAAAACTCCTCTATATCGCTACTATTTTTATTAAATGTACTACTATTGCTTTGATTTAAACCAGTATTGTTAAGCTCCTCTTCGACACTATCACTACTGAAGCTTAGTATTGAGGAGTCATCACTAACATCTTCGTTCTTATTTTTATTTCCTATTAAACTATTTATACTGTTACTAACAGCATTTTTACTTTTATTAAGTAATGACAACATTTATTTATCAAACACAAAAAAATAAATTATTAAAAAAAAAACAAAAAAACAAAATTTATTATTATTTGTGATTAGTTTATAAAAAAAAATGTAAAAAAAAAAAAATAATGTGTGTGATGATAATGTGTGATTATAGATACGATGGGGGTGATAATTGGTTATAACCTTCAAAAAAAAAAAAATCATATTATCACTACTTTTTTAAAATTTTTATTAAAAATATCTTTTTTTTTTTTATTTTTTTATTTTATTTTTATTTTTTTTTTTTTTTTCTAAAAACTAATTTTAAAAATAATTGAAATTTATTGCCCAATGTTGGCTTTATTTTAATAGATTTATCTAGCTGGTGTTAATAAGTATGGATGAGCATGTCTGAATACACCAAAAAAGAAAGTACCACATGCAACCATACTTAAAACAGTACGAACTGAATGAAGTTCACCCCAGGCATCGAGCATTGAACGAGTTTCTCTATCTAATGGATCGGTATCTTTTGATAAAAGTTTTTTATTTGTAGGTTGAATTGCAAGTAAAGTGTATGGAATAATTGAAAGCATTAAGCCACCACCGAGTAACCATACTAATCCTTTGCATCTACAGCAATGACGAACTGAATCTTCGACAACTCTACTGACGACATTTGATCTGCAATATGAGTTGTAAATTGAACCAAATGTTAATAATGAGGCAGTACCTGAGATGAATGCTAAGCTGGCTTGAATTGGTGCAACTTTTTTAAATGTTTCACGCCAATGGCTTAAAGCATATTCGTTTGGTAATGATGCTAATGATGGGTGATCAACTTTTTGTATATAAAGTGAAATACCAGCAAACATTGCTGATCCAACAACTGCAACACCTTTTAAAATTGGTAAACAATTTTTAACTCCACAAATAGTATTACCATGTTCCATTTTTTGATTCTATATTTAAAAAAAAAAATTATTAATATTTTTTTTTTTTTCCTAAATATGTATTATTTACCTTTGTATATTACTAATTTAATTTTAAAAATATAGTATGAATGATAACAGTATTGAAAATATAAATAAATTTTTTTTTTTTTTTGTTTGGATAAATTAAAAAATAAAAAATTTAAAAAAATTTAAAAAAAATAAAATTACAATAAAATTTACAAATAATAATTATTTCATAAAAAAAAAAATATTAATGCAAATTAGGTGTGAACACACATATTATTGAAGATACATGCCAGTGAACACATATTATTTATCGAACACACACATTTATTAACACTCCCACACAGTTATTTCCTCACATAAATTAATATTTATTATTATTTGGTAATAAATCAATCTATTAATTTTTTTAATTTAATTTTTTTTTTTTTTTTTGGTAATTAAAAATAAAAAATAATTTTTTTAAAAAAAAAAAAGAGAAAAAAAAAAGAAAAAAAAAAAGAAAAAAAAAAAAAAAAAAGATATATTGTTTAGATTTTGTTAAGGTTTAAATAATTATTAAATTAAATTTTTTTTATTTTTTTAAATAATTTCTAAATAGTATTTAAACATGTGAAAACTTTTATTTTCATTCATTTCAATTAACACAAAACAATACAAAATGGCTATTGAATTAAAACCACAAGAAAAACATAGTAAGTATTTATTTGTATATTTATTTATTTATTTTTTATAAATACATTCTAACTTTTAATATTTTATTTTATTTATTAAGCTGTTCAAATTGACCACGAACTTGAATTTGTCTTAGGAAATAATGACAATCAAGACTGCACTGTCAGATATTTATTAAACAATGAAGAAAAGAAGAAATCTCTTTTAATGGCTGGTCACAATATTAGAACCACTTACGAAGCTACTGGAGATTTAACAATTTTCAATGAAGGTCCAGGCACCTTAAACCTCAACATAGAATAAACACAATTAAACAAGTAAAGGGTGTTTAGAAACATTCTTTATGTTTAATTATTAACAAAAACTATTATTTTAAAAAAACATCTTTTTTGAAATAAAGAAAAAAAAATAATAATAAAAGTTTATCTGAAGTAAAATATTTTTATTTTTACTTTATATTTTATAAAATTATTTATTTATTTATTTTTTTATTTATTTATTTATTTGTTTGTTTTTTTCTTTATTTCTTTATGTTATTTACTTTTTTTAAACAAAAATTACATAATAAAAGATGACCATAATTAAAAGTAACATGAATGGTCTTGGTTTATTTACTTCTCCCCATTTTTTCAATAATGCTGCAGAAAGACTTAAATTCTCTTCACATTCCTTTGAATTTAATCTTTTATTAATTGGTACAACAACTAAAACAGTGTATGGCAAAAGTGAAAACATAAGAATACAACAAAGTAACCAAAGTTGTGCTTTTAATGTATTTCCTGAATCAGAAAAGAGTACAGTAAAATAAGTTAAAAATGATAAGGCTGATGTTACTACCGTTAAACTAAACTGTGCAAAGCTTAAAACCTTGTATTTTTCTCTCCACTCTCTTAATCCCAACTCTGTTGGTAAAAGCAATACACATCTAACATCGATTAAATAAGTCTGAAGAGAAATACCAACTTTAATAACAGTTCCTATAAATACAAGGCCTGCTAATACTGAAACTAGACTATTAGTTCCTATAAAACTTTGATCCATTTTATTTAATTTATAATTTATAATTCAATTATATAATTTAAAACAATAACTATGTAAATTTAAAAAATAACTATGTAAATTTAAAATGTAAAATATATATAGTAAAAAAATAAAACAATTAAACTAGTTTATTAAAAAGAAAACTTCAATATTTAAGATTAATATATTATAAATAATAATTAGTAAGAGATAATAATTTATTTTTTTTGTCTTTTTGGGAAAAGAAATAATATTTTTATTTAAATTATAGTTTTTTTAAAAGATATTTTTATATTTGCAAAACACCATAATCTTTTTATATCATTATATATGACAATATTAAAAAAGGGAATAAACAAATGAAAATGAAGAATAAAGTATAACCTAATAGCTATACTTTTTAAATTTTTTATAATTATATTTTTTATTTGTTTTTTTTTACTATTATTTAAATTTATTTGTTTGAAATATTTAATATTGAAACAACATAAACCTACAAATAATATATATATATTCTTGCTTTATGAACTCTACCCACTTTTTCAATAAAAATTTGCATATTGACCACATGAATCTAAATCTTTAGATAATAATTTCTTATTAATTGGTTGCTCATAGATATGGGTGTGGGAAAATTTAAAAAAACTTGAGCGCAACCTAATAACCATAGCAATCCTTTGTCTTTGAAACTAATATTTGAGGTAGAACTTTTTTTTATTAGAAATAAAAGTTAAAAATGATGATATTATTGAAGTGTTTTATAAACACTCTTTTTTATCTATTCTATTGCATATTCAACTAGCAAAGAAACTGTGATGGGTATACTTTGTGTATATATAAAGAATTTTTTCAAATAAATGATACACCTATACTTGTTGAGATAAAGTTAAGGTTTTTTATATATAGAGCAATATTCATTTATTATTAGTATTTATGTATAATAGATTTGTATAAATATTAAAAATAAAATAAAATAAATAATTAAAAAAATTTTTAAAAAAAAAGGGGTATTTATATTTCTTTTTTTTTGGAAAGGGGCATAAAATAATTATATGAAATTGGTATAGAAAAGATCACCACCATACTCCAAATATTTTTCTTTTGAAATCCAAGATTTGTGTTCTGTTAAAACCTTGCAATGCTCTGAACCACCAACCCAAGCAGAGAATTTATCTTTATTGTAATTATATACTTTAGCCTTTGGGGCTTTATATAACAATTCATTTTGGATACGACATTTTAAACCTGGGAATAATGAGTTACCACCAAATAGATATATGTTTCTGTAAATTTCAGAAGGATCTGCAACCTCTACAGAGCTGGCGGTTTTTAAGATTTTGATGTGAAGTGGATCAGTATCAATTCCTAATAACTCTGGTTTGAAAAGAACTTCTGGTGCTTTGTAGAGTTCTTTTTTTAATTTAACACTGGTACCATCGAATAATTGAAAGAATTTTTCTTCGAAATAATGGCTTTTTTCTTCGCGTACATATGCCAACTGCTCCTTAATGTTGTTTACAGTGTCACTATTGATTGAATTACTTGCAGGATTATCTACTAAAAGAAATTCTAAATACTTTGAAATTGAGTTCCCACCAATGTTAAGAATTTGATCTGAATGTTTAACGTAGTGAGGGATTCCACTATATATTGGAATAATCCTTGTAACATCATAACCACTATCGACGACTAAACCTGTATATTGACGCAATGAAAACAAAGATAAAGCAGCATCCATACAGATAAACAAATTTTGGACACCAAACTTTTCATACATTATCTCTACCTTTTCTTTTCTTTCCTTGTAAGTAGCAAATGCCATTTCAGATAAAAGAACGTTGCATTGATTTGAATTCACTTGCAATTCATTGAATGTATAACGCCAAACATTTTCCATTGCGCCCCAATTAACTATTCTACCACGTTTGATTGGATCAGCCAAACTACAGTCAAAGATGTACTTTTTTTCTCTTATTTGATTAATGCTAGATGATTTCTTGTTTAAACTTTCATTGGTAAATAAATTTGATGGAAATACTAAACTTGGTTTTGATTCTGGATTTGCAATACCAGCTTTAATTGTATCTGAACCACAATCAATTACTATTATAAAATATTAATAAAAAGATTAATAAACTATATTAATTTATTATTGTTTAAATTTTAAAAATGATTAATACCAATATCGCTAAATTCTGCCATTTTAATTATTTAAATTATTTAGAAAATGAAATGAAAATATTTTTAATTTTGTGATTGTATGAAAGATGGTAATATAGATTTAATCTATAATATAATAATTTTTTTTTAAAAAAAGAAAATACAAAAATTATTAAAAAAAATACATTTTGGATTTTTTTTTTTTTTTTAAGTTTAGAAAATAAAAATTAAAAATAAACTTGTGAATTTTACCATTAAAACTTAAAATTTATTTGATATAATAAAAATAATTTATTAATAATTTATTAATTAATAATTTATTAATTTTATTTTATTTCATTTTATTTAGCTTTATTTTCAAGTTATTGATCAAATAAAAATTCAAAAAAAAAAAAAAATTCAAAAAAAAAAAAAAAAAAAAGCTCACAAAGTTAAAACAATAATAATAATAAATATAAAAAATAAAAAGTTATAAATAAACAAATAAAATTGTTTTTTTATTTTAGAAATTATTTGTTTTGTTTATTTAATTGTTTGTCTTTATTTAAATTTTAAATAGATCAAATCTATTTTATTATTTTATTTATTAAATTGATTCTATGTTTTAAAATATTTATAAAAAATGTGGGTGTGTTTGTGGGTGTGTTTGAATTGTTTAAATCATGCGTTTTATTTGTAAAATTGTGTGTTGTTAATACAAAAACTATTAATAAATCTGTATTTTATTTTAACGAAAAAAGAAAAACAAATAAAATAAATAAACTACATTAGATTCTATCTTTTTTTTTTTTTTTTTTTGTTTTTACTTTTTTATCTATATGTATCATTTTATTTGTTTTATTTGTTTTATTTATTTTTTATGACAATCCTATAAATTATTTATACATATATTTTAATTTAATCTTATCATTATTATTTTTTATTAATAAAAAAAATCGTATTATTATTTTTTTTTTTTGAATTAATTTATAATTAACTGGTTAAAAAAAAAAAAAAAATGGAATCTTTATAATTTTCCAATATAAAATAATTAATAATTTTATAATACTAATTAATTAATATAATTTTATATACAATTTTCGTCATTAATAATTTATAATTATTAAAACTTTCATTTAAAAAAAAAAAATTTAAGATTTGTGGGTTAAAGAATATAAATAATATGTGTGTGTTGGGTGTTTGTGTGTATGTGGATGGTGTTCTATCTAGAAAAACAATAATGTTATACATATATTAAAAACACAAAAAACTAATTGTCTTTAATTTTTTGGTTTATTAATTAATATTGTTTATGTAGACATTCTATAATATTATTTTAAAATTTTATTTTATTTTATTTTTTAACACTTTGGTTCATCATTAATCCTGTGTAATATATGATTTTTCTCCTCACTTTTATTATTTTTTTTAAAAAAAAAAAAGAAAAAAAAAAAAAGAAAAAAAAAATAATTTTTTTTTAAATAACGAATTTTTTTTTTAAATTTCAAAAATTCTGGTTCATTATTAATTTATTGTTATTTATTTATTGTTATTTATTGTTATTTATTTATAAAAGAATTTATTTTAATTTGGAAAAAGAAAAAAGAAAATTTTTTAAAAGATATAAAAATAAAAAAAAAAATTAAAATTTTTTTTTCAAATTAATTTAAAATATAAAAATAGAATGAGAATTGTAATTTTACTTTTATGTTTATTACTTGGATCATTATCATTGACAAATGCAGGTTTTTTAAGAAATCACGATTCAACATTAAATAAAGGTTTGAGAGCAAGAGGTGCTCCATCATCATCACCATTAAGTGATAGACGTCCTTTACCAACTGATCCACCAGCTCAATGGTTCAATAATCAAGTCGATCATTATAATCCATTAAATACCGAAACTTTTAAACAAAGATATTATGTTAATGGTAATAGAAACTAAAAACAAAAAAACAAAAAAACAAAAAAAAAAAAAAAAAAAAAAAAAAAAAAAAATATAAACCTATACTAATATTATTTTTTTTGTTGTTATTATAGATACATATTGGACACCAGGCGGTCCAGTATTTTTAGTTCTTGGTGGAGAGGGTCCAATTAGTCCATCATACGTTACTGGTCATTTTGTTGTTAACTATTATGCTCCAATGTTTGGTAAGTTATTAAATCATAAATGATTTGTTTTTTTATTTATCTAAATTGACAAAAAACTTTTTTTAATTTTTTTTTATAGATGCATTAATTGTTGCAGTTGAACATAGATTTTATGGTGCATCAACACCAAAAGGTAACTTAGCAACCGAAAATTTAAAATATTTAAGTACTCAACAAGCATTGGCCGATTATGCAAATTTTGTACAATTCTTTAAACAAAAATATAATACAGGAGATAGTAAATGGGTTTCATTTGGTGGTTCATATTCAGGCAATTTAAGTGCATGGTTAAGATTAAAGTATCCAAATTTAATTGATGCAGCTATTGCAACATCAGCACCAGTTAAACCAGTTGTAGATTTCCCAGAATATTTCGAAGTAGTTTCAAATTCTATTGGTCCATCATGCAGCGCATTCGTTGCTAATATCACTAAAACCGTTACTGATATGATTAACAATGGCCAAAATGATCAAGTTGCCAAGCTTTTCAATGCATGCGATCCAATTGTCAGTGATTTGGATATTGCCACTTTTATGGAATCACTCTCTGGTGGCATTTCAGAAATCGTTCAGTACAATCTCGATAATAATGCATACACTTTTACAAATATCACTGCTATGTGCGAAGAATTTGAACAAGGTAGCGATCCAATGCAAACTTTTATCGATTTCAATAATCGTTACAACACTTTTTCAGGCTCACCATGCACTCTTAGTTCATACGAAAAATCTGTTATTTATCAACAAAATATTGATCCAGCTAATGTAAATGCTTCATCAAGAAGCTGGAACTGGCAATGTTGCACCGAATATGGTTACTATCAAACTGGTGAATCTCCAAGCCAACCATTTTCCTCCACCATCACATTAGATTATTTTATTAATATGTGCACTGATGTTTTTGGTCCAGAAGGTTTTGTTTATAAACCACAAGTAGACTATATTATCACCGACTATGGTTCAACCAACATCCAATCATCAAATATCGTTATGGCCTCTGGCACTATCGATCCATGGAGTTTCCTCGGTGTTCACCAAACTCCTCTAAAATCATCTGTTCAACCCATTTTAATCCAAGGTGGTGCTCATTGCTCCGAACTCTATATGCCAAAAGAACACGATTTACCAGATGTTGTTACCGCTCGTTTAGTTGAAATCCAATTAATTAAAGACATTTTATAAAGAAAAAAAAATAAATAAAAATAAAAAAAAGAAAATTTATTTTAATTTATACTGTTTTAAAATTTTTTTTAAAAAGTTATTTATTTATTTATATATTATATCAATTGGTTTATGGTTTTTTTTTCTTTTTTGTAATATCATTCTTTCCAAGAGAAAATAAACCACCTTGTGAGGATTGATTTGAATTAAATGATTGAGGAGCATTTCCAAATCCACCAAAACCTGGGGTACCATTGGATCCCATCATACCAAATGGATTAGGAGCTGTTGAGGGAGCAGAACCAAGGTTTCCAAATGGATTAGGTGCAGTTGATGGGGCTGCACCCATAGAGCCTGTACCAAATGGGGATGCTGATGTTTGTTGTATTCCAAATGGTGATGGTGTAACAGAGGTCGATGATGGTGCAGTACCAAACGGTGATGCTCCAAATGGTGATGGTGTAACAGAGGTCGATGATGCAGTACCAAATGGTGCATTTGTTGAGCCTGATGCTGGGAATCCTGAGAAAAATGGTGAGGATGAATTTGTTGTTGGTGCGTTAAATGGTGATGTGGCTGTTGTTGGTGCGTTAAATGGTGATGAGTTCGATGCTGTAGTTGTCGATGGAGCACCGAATGGTGTAGCTGTGGTTGTTGGTGCACCAAATGGTGATGATGTGGTTGTGGTCGATGGTGCACCGAATGGTGATGGTGTAGTTGTGGTCGATGGTGCGCCAAATGGTGATGGTGTAGTTGTGGTCGATGGTGCACCAAATGGAGATGTATTTGTATTTGATGGTGCATTAAATGGTGACGATGTGGTTGTGGTTGATGATGCGCTAAATGGTGCGTTAAATGGTGATGAGGCAGATGCAGCCAATGGTGCGCCAAATGGTGATGGTGTGGTTGTGGTTGATGGTGCACCGAATGGTGATGGTGTGGTTGTGGTTGATGGAGCACCAAATGGTGATGCAGAACCTGTGCCGGTCAATGGCATTGAGAATAGTGAAGAACTTGATGTAGAGGTGGATGTTGATGGTGCATTAAATAATGATGCAGTTGTTGATGGGGTTGTTGTCAAGCTTGGGGAAGTTGTTGGGATATTGAATGGTGAAGCACTTGAGGTTGTTGTTGGAGCACCAAATGGTGATGGTACTGCTGTTGGTGCTGTAAAAGGATTGGAAAATGAATTTGATGATGAGGATGAGGTTGTTGAAAAACTGGTACTTGTCGAATTACCAAATAAACCTGCAGATGGTGCTGTTGTGTTCAAACTTGGTGATGTTGTTCCACCAAAGAGACTTGTTGTTGATTCTTTTTTATCTGTTGGATTACTAAATAAGTTTAAAGTTGAGGATGAATTGGTTTCTGATTTGGTTGTTGTTGATAATGGTGTAGATGATGTTGTTGATGAAAAAGGAGTTGATGTTGTAAATGGTGAGCTTGAAAATAATGATGCTGATGCTACTGTTGTTGAGGATGGTGCACTAAATAAGGAGTTTGTACTTGTTGATTCTTCTTTTTTATCGGTTGAAGTAAATGGATTTGAAAAAAATGATGGTGTTGATGTTGTTGATGGAGTACTGCCAAATAAAGATGATGAGCTTGTAGTTGTGGTGGAACCAAATAATGATGTGGATGATGATGATGATGATGACAATGGTGGTGTTGTTGTTGTTGTTGTTGTTGTTGGTACTAAAGTATTGTTGCTACTAAATAAAACTGGTTTATCTTCTTTCTTTTCTTTGTCATCAGCTTTTGTGCTACTAAATAAACCTGGGGTTGTACTTGGACCAAATAATGATGATGCTGATGATGATGAAGAGGTTGAGTTTATTGATGAACTTGAGCCAAACAATGAACCAGAAATAGGTGCTGAAGAATTAGTGAATAAAGGTTTATCAGATGTAGTTGATGAGGGTGAATTTGAAGATGAGGAGAATAATCCAATAGAAGAGGTATTACCACTAAATAATGAGGCTCCTGGTTTTTCATCCTTCTTATATTCTTTTTTATCTTCTTTTTCATCTACTTTACCTTCATCTTCAGGTAAACTATTATGATTTACAAATAATGGTGTGGTTGATGTTAAGGTGTTTGAACCAAATAATGGTGTGGTTGATGATAAGGTATTTGAACCAAATAATGAGGTAGGGCCATTTGATTTGGTATCACCAAACAATGAGGTTGAAGTAGAGCCATTTAATTTATTATCGCCAAATAATGAGGTTGAAGTTGAGGCTGAAGATACTTTTGAAGTGGTTGGAGATTGTGATGATTTCTTCTTTTTACTCTTCTTTTTATCTTCTTCATCACTTGAATCTGGACCTTGGTTAAAGAGTGATTTTTCGGATGTATTTGAAAGTATCTTATTGCTCATTAACGAACCGCTAGAGAATAAACTGCTTCCTGAAGCACCAGAGAATAAGCTGTTTGATGAATTGTTATTAGATGCAGATGGTTTTGTATCAAATAAACCACTAGTTGGAGTTGAAGTAAAGAGGCTTGAGCCTGATATCCATGATGGTAAATTTGATTTTTCATCTTTCTTTTTATCTTTTTCATCTTCGTCGGAAGATGGTGGAACATAAAATCCCTCCTCACCTTCATAATTTTCTTCTTCTTCTTCTCCCTCTTCATCTGATTCTGGTGGAACATAAAATTCTTCGACCACCTCTTCCTCTTCTTCAGCATCTTCTTGTTCCTCCTCCTCCTCTTGTTCTTCTTTTTCTTTTGGAACATTATCTGGTTTTTTAGCAGTACCAAATCCAAATCCGCCAGTAGTTGGTGCTGCTGTTGGTAATGTAGAAGTTGGTTTTACAGTTTCTTTTGGAGCTGATCCGAAAATACTGGTTGAGTTTGATGAAGAGAATATTGAGTTTGTTGTTGGTAAAGCTGATGTTGAAGTTTTGTTTGAGAATAAACCCACAGATGCATTATTAAATAAACTTGAAGGTGTTGTTGGTGATGTCTTTTCCTTATCTTTTTCAACAGATGCTGGAGCACCAAATGGACTTGATGTGGTTGTTGTTGGTGAAGTGAATAGAGATGAACCTTTACTTGCCTCGGTAGATGGTTTTGAGAATAAACCTTCAGATTTGTCACTAAATAATGATATTGGCTTAGCTGTTTCTTTTTCAGAATTTTTGGTGGTACTAGATAAATCAAATTTATTACTTGCTGAGGATGGAACAGTGGTACCAAATAATGAGCCGGATGTTTCAAGTGTAATTGGACCTGGAATTTTAAAACTTTCTGTTGTTGGAATTGGATTAAACTCAATTTTATTTTTTTTATCCATGTTTGATGTTGGTGTTGAGGTAGTGTTTAATGTGGAAGATAATGGTAAAGTTTTGAAATTTGATGTATCCAAATTAAAGTTTGGTGGAATGTCAACTTTATAACTTGGCAATTTAAAAGTGTCCTCATTTTCTTCAATTTCATCCTTTGATCTCTTCTTTTCATATGGTGAAAATTTATCCTGTTTCTTCTCAGCAGCGTTAGTATTTGAAAATAAACTAGATGTCTTTTCTTCAGAGTCTTTATTACCAAATAATGATGATGTAGTTGCTGGTGGTGTGAATAATGATGTTGCTGTTGTAGCTGTTGTTGCTGGTGCTGTTGTAGCTGTTGTTGCTGTTGCTGTTGTAGCTGTTGGTGATATTGTTTTTGGTATTGATGGAGTTGTTGTATCTTTAGTGTTTGACGAAACTGTTGGTTGTATGCTTGTGCTTGTAGTTGTTTGAGTACCTGGTTTTCTATATAATGATACTGATGAAGTGAGTGAAGTTGTTGGAATTTCAAAATCTTTATCCTTATTTGATTTTGGTTTTTTTTCCTAATTAAATTTAATTAATATAAGCATTTACTTTTTTATTTTTAAAAAAAAAAAAACTAAAATAAAGCAACTTACCAATAATTTACTTAAACCATATGGGTTATATTTATAATTGATAGAAATTTGTGGGATTCTGTAACTTGATCTAAGAGCAGTTGAAGATGAAAGTGTTGAATCGGTTCCAAAAGTACTTGCTGAACCATTAATAGATTCATTACCATTTTGAGTAGATGTTTGTAAATTGTAATGGGATAAAACTGGATTTGAAAATGAATCTAAACAATCCAAAATTCTTTTAGCTGCTTGGCTAGTTGCTAACATTACTGAATTTTCATCTGAAATTCTTTTTTTTAATGGTGGATTACTATCATCCTCGTCCTATACAATAAATTTAAAAATTGATTAGTTTATTTACTTTAATTTATATAAATATATTTATATAAACTTACTTTATTTGATTTATATAAACTATTACTACCATCATCACTGCTAAACTTTCTTTTTGATAAAATTGATGTAGTGGTTTCGAATGGTGAATTACCATACAATGTTGAAGAAATTGGTTTAGTTTTATATTGTGTATTCGAAAGAGTTGCTGTATTGTAAAGTGATGTAGTATTGATTTTTAATTTAGTTTGGGTTGGTGATAAATTATTTTTAATATTTCTATTTATATTTAATGATGGTGATGTAGATGTTGAATTATTAAAAGCGTTTATTCGATCTTGTTTTAAATTTGGATATAAAGTTGAAATATTATTATTTAAAATTGATGAGGTAGTTGATAATGGTGGTGTTACAGAAGTTGTTGGTTTATTATTTACTAATATATTTTTAATTCCAACATTATAAGCACCATTTGGTCTTAATGGTGATGATCTATTATTATTAATTGTTGTATTATTATTATTAATGGTATTATTATTGTTATTATTATTATTATTATTATTATTTGATGTAGTAGTGGTTGTTATATTATTTGGTTTAATATTTTGGGTTAAATCATTGAAAGTTATTGAGGATGTATCGATTTTTAAACCTGTTGTTTGAGGTAATTTAACTTTTGCTAAATTATTATCGTATTCACTATTTTCTTTATTATTATATTCCTCATTTCTTTGACCAACCTTCTTTGGTGTAACACCAGTTTGTTGAGTAGTTTCATCAAAATCTGAAAACATCCATTTCAGAGGCTTTGATAAAATCTTATTTACCATGGTCTTAAAGAAACCTTTGTTCTCCACTTGTTCGTTATTTGGGGATGGTGGAGACGATACTAAAAATGATGAGTCTTCCTCTTCATCTCTAATACTATTATTTCTATTTACTGGTTTTGAGTATGGATTGTATAATCCTGATTTAATTTTTCCATTCATTTTGCTGGGAAACCTATAAATAAAATATAAATTATAAAGATAGATTGATAGACAAAATAGAAATAGAAACAAAATTAAAGGAATAATTAACAAAAAAAATAAAAAATAATGAAATCGTTTTTTTAAAAAAATTTAAAAAAAAAAAATTTAAAAAAAAAAAAAAAAAAATAATTTAAGAAAAAAAAAAAATATATGTTTAATAATTTTATTAAATAGTTATTATAAATTGAGTTATTGAATATAAATAATAGTTTTTAAATAGAAAAAAAAAATAAAAATGATAAGTTAGTTAATGTTTAAAAATATTTATGTATAATAATTTATTTTGGTGGTGGGTTTTTGTGGGGTGTTTGTGTGTTTTATTTTTTTATTTGTATATTATTTACCTTTTTTTTTATGTATTTCTTTTAACTGTCAACTTTTAAGATTTGCGGAAAGAAAAAAAAAGATGATAAAATAATAAACAAAGATAAAATGATATAAGATATAATATATAAACTTTATGCTCCTATTTTTATTAAATATTTATATACAAATCTGTTTTTTATATAAAAATAATTAGATAAAAAACTATCTTTATTTATTTTATTATCAATATAACAAAATTAAATAAAAATAAAAAATTAACTAAAAAAAAAATTTTTTAAAAATAAAAAAATTGAAAAAAATTTTAAAAATTAAAAAAAAATTAAAAAATTAAAAAAATATAAAAAAAATTAATATAAATGATTACCCTTTTTGGGTATTTACAAAATTTCCATTATACTAAAAATATAAAAAGAAGATAAATCAGCGATGAATTAATCAAATTCATGATTGTTTCTTTTTAAAATAAATAAATAAAATTTTTTATTTTTAGTTAACCTTTCTTGGGTTCTCCTATAGTCCTCTACCTTTTATTACAACATCTATACCTATTTATATATTATTAATGATTTATTCTTTTGGTGTATTTCTTCCAATAATAAAACTTGCAATTGCAGTAGCTGCAGCACCTACTGATGGGAAAATAGCTACCATACATAAATAAAAACCTGTACCACCACCAAATTTGGTTGTGGTAAGTCCATAATATGTACCTCTCCATTTATTTTGACAGGATCCTTCTCCTCTGCAAATAACAAAATTGTCCTAAAAAAAAAAAATTAGTATTTTATTAAAATAGTTTTTAAAATTTTGTTGATCAACAAAACTTACATTTTTGAAACCTTGAGTGAAACCGGCGGCTACTACGACACCAATAAAGTTTAATATTAATACGAAAATCATTAAAATTCTTGAAATTATCCATGTTTTATCTGGTATAACATTTAGTATATTAAGAATTGTTAAAATCACAGCTACAAATCCAATGATAAATGCTATTGCACACATTGCCAAGCATGAATTAAAATAATTATGGGTTCTATTAAAAAGAAAATATTTATAATAAAAGATTGCTTTGTTAATAATGTGATATTATTTATTTGTTTGTGAATAAAAAACATACTTGTCTAAACCAAGATCACCATAACTTAATGAATATTTCTTTTTCATAGTGATTGAAAATTCATCCACTACAATTCTTGGGCCATAAAACGAATAGGTTGTTTCTATAGTTGCTGCAGAATCACTGCTTGTGACATAATACCATCTTGTTGCCATACCAATAACAAGCAATACACATGCTGCTACAAGAAATACCAATGAAATAACTCTAAATTTATCACGCATTTTTTAAATTATATCTTTAAAAAAAAAAAAAAAATTTCTATTTTGTGAATGCAATGAATTGAAAAAAAATAAAAAAAATATAACTTTGTGGTAAAATACACCATAAATTGAAAAAAAAAAAAAAAAAAAAAAAAAAAAAATTTTCAAAAAAAAAAAAAAAAAAAAAAAATAATTTTCAAATAAAACTTTTTATTTTTTAATTTTATTTTATTTGAAAATATTTTAAAACTTTCACTCCACAAAATATAATTTTGGTAATAGATTCGCTATATTAAAAAAATATATATAACCATTACCTTAGGAAAACGAAAATGAAAATGAAAATGAAAATTAAGTGTGTGATATAAAAATTAAAAATTTATTTTATTCTATATAACCCATTTTCTTATTATAGTTGGTGGTTGTTTTTTCGGTGAATTTATTATTAATTTGGTTATTTTCTAAAGGTGATACAGGAATTGGTGGTATATTTATATTTGGGCTTTCGAGTAATGGCGAAGAATTTACATGATTGCTATTTAACATATCTAATTGTGGTGATGAGGATGGGGTTGTGTTTGCTGAGGAAATTATGATTGGTGAACCACCATTTTCTTTATTATTTAAATCTACCAATACAGTATTTGGAGAGTTTGAAGATTGAGCAGTTTCAGAGCCACCAGTGGATGGTATGGTAATTGCTCCAACGATTGATGGAAATTCTTTATTTATAAAATCCCTAAGTTGATTCTCTACCAATGATGCGATAAATTTACCTGCTGCTGGAAATTCATCAAAACTTGTAACTATATTAACATTCTTTAATGGGTCCTCTTTAAATGATGCTTCGATTTTACCACCATTACTTGTTGGGCTATTATTGCCCATAGTTTCATTGCTATTGCCATTACTATTATTGTTATTTACTATACAAACTGATAAAATACCATCAAATACAATATCTTTTATTAAAATACTTAATGGTATAATATGTGGATTTGATGCTGACCCAAATCTAAGTTTTTTAATTAAATCTCTTTCAAATCTTGGTACATTTGTTACTGATGATCCTAAATAAATTGGATTGGCCTAAATGTAAAAAAAACTATTAATATAAAATAGAGATTTGATTTATTTTCACTTTATGATATTACTTGAACCATTGTTCTTAACTCTAATAACCCATTTCCGTTATATTTTACTTTAAATACAAATTTCATACGATCTTTTGATGGATCTAATTCTAGTAATTGAATTTCGGGTGCTATATCGCCCAAATGAATTTGATATACTAATAATTTATCTGTAATGTTTGGAATTGGTGGCCCACTATTCAATGTTTTATTTAATTCGCTCTTTAAGTTATTGTAAAATGCATCATCAAATCCACCCCAACTTAATTTAAATGACATCTTTTATTTATTTTATATTTATGAAGCTAAACCTCTTTAATCTGTACTGACGACTATTATTATTATTCCTATTGCTTTTACCACTAATACTATTTATTAATACTATTTACTATTACTATTATTTATCAGGCTAGTCAAATTAGCAGACTAATTTAATAAGATTGTTTTTATACTTTTGAAAAAAATAAAAAATAAAAAAATTTTAAAATTTTTTTTTTTTTAAATTTTTTTAAATTTTTTAACGTAAAAATGTTGTAATCGAAACAACAAATTATTATCTTTTTTAAATTAAATTAAAATTATAATTAAAATTAAATTAAATTAAATTAAAAACTAAATAAGCTATATTACAACCAAATAAACAAATAAACAAATAAACAAATAACTATAATAAAAGAAAAATTTTAAATATTTAAAATAAAATAAATATACATAATCGGAATTTTTTTTTTTTATTAATTTTTTAAAAAATTTTTTGTTTTTTTATTTTTTTTTTTTTATTTTTTTTTTTTAAATTATTTTTTATAAAAACTTTCGTTCATTTAAATTAATTTGGATTAATTTATATATATATTAGCTTATACAAAAATGGTATTTTATCAAAAAGAAAAAAAAAAATTATAAAACAATTAGAACAATTTTTATTAATATAAAAACAATTAATAAACAATAATAATAAATTTTGATAATAGAATAGATATTTATTTAAAGTTGGTACCCAAACTACATCATTTTTATTAAGATCAAACAATCAAGTTTTCAGATCATTCTCGACTGAAAAGAAATCAATTTTAGAAACCATTGATCAACAAGTTAAAGGTAATCCATTGGTTTTATACATGAAAGGTACTCCATCAGCTCCACAATGCGGTTTTAGTAATACAGTTGTTAGAATTCTCGAAGCTGAAGGTGTTGGTAAATATGAATCACATAATGTTTTAGAAAATGACGAGTTAAGAGATGGAATCAAAAAATATGGGTATGTAATTAAAATTATATAATGCATTTACAAATACATATATTTCCCAACAAAAATAAATATTAACAACTTTTTTTTTTTAAATAACCCCTTTATAGTGAATGGCCAACTATCCCACAAGTCTATATCAAAGGTGAATTGGTTGGTGGAGCCGATATTATGCTCAATTTATATAAATCTGGTGAGCTTTCAAAAATGTTGCAAGATGCTGGTATTATTAAAAACTAAAAACCCATACAAAACAATATAAATAAAATCGATTTAAAATAACAATTTTCTTAACCTTTTTTTAAAAAAAAATAAAAAAATAAAAAAATTAAAAAAAAATAAAATAAAAAAAAAAGATTTTGTTTTTTTCATCACTTTTAAAAAAATTTGCAAATTTTTTTTATTTTTCTTTTTCCTTTCTTTTAAATAAATTCAATAATAATTTTATATATATTTCAAAATTAAAGATGGAAAAAAATATTTTTATCATTATTTCGGAAACATATGTTAACAAGGAGGATTATAAAAACGAGTATGGAATTGAAATTCTTTATTTTAAAAGAAATGAAAAAAAACAAACAAAATCATTATTTATTACCCAAAAAGATTTTAAAGAAAATTATAAAAAAATATTAAAAATAGAAAATTTACAAAACAGACAGAGTATTTAATATTAAATATTAAATAGTTTTTTTAAAAAATACTAATATTTTATTTCTTTAAAAGATCTTATATATCTTTTTAAAAAAATTCCCAAATCATCCAAAACAAATAGCAATGCAGAAGTTTGCCCAGATGTTGGCACACTTATAAATAGAATGAATGATATTAAAATTGAAAATGAAGATAAAACAGATTTAGAAGTAATTACCAATGCCTTCAAAAAAATAGATTTAAAAAAAGATGATATTGACAAAAATGTTATTTCTGATATACCTACTGTTAAAGCTGATGTAAAAATAAAGGAAGCATTAAATTGCACACCAAAACCCATAGAACCTATCATGAATAACAAAGAAAATAAAGAAATTATTTGTAAGCTTGAGCAACATAAGACCAAATATTCAAATGAAGAAGCCAATAAAACCCCAACCAAATTAAGCCCAACCAACCTGCAATTTAAAACACCAGAGAACAAGACTCCCTCTTTTTATAAAACCCCAAATAGTATTCTAAATTTCGAGTGTAGCAATAAAAAAAGTAATATTTATAATCAAAAAGCAACACCAAGTAATTTCTCAAATAAAAAAGACTCACCAAATATAAAGAAAACTTGTAAAATAAAAATCAAATTTAATGAAAAGCTGTATGATGAGATCCAACTATATAAAACTTTAATACTCATAGTATATGGAAAATACATGCCAGTGGTAAATGAAGACAATGTTAAACTGTCACCAAAAACCAATAACAATCAAGTACCTAAAGAATGGTTTTATCCAAATGATGATAACTCCAAAAATTTACCATTTGATTCTCATTTTTGCATTATCCTTGTAAACCCTGTAAGCAATATTAACTTAATAAGCTCGGCCAAGGGCGATAAAGAGTGTCCATCATTTAGAAATTTAACCTCTCTACTAAGAGAATTTGATAAAAAAGAAAATTATAATTATGGCTCCCCAATGTTACAAGATTATAAATATTTTATTACTGATGCCCATCCATTTGCAAGTAAAGAAATTCCTGACTATCAAAATAATAAAAAAGAAATCCATCAACAAATTGAAAGAATATTATTTTCAACCCCAAAAGTAATAGTTTTAGGCGGAGCTGATGTGTATTACTTCTTTACAGAATATTTAGGTGAAAAAGGAATAAAGTATGAAAAAATAGGGTTTGGTTTACCATCATCTTTTATAATTATAAATTCTAAAACGCTTGTTTTAACCTTTCATCATCCTTCAATGTGGAATGATTTAAATTATTATAATCATGCAAAAGCTGTAATTGTTTTAGCTCTAATCTGCTCTTTGTTAAATAAAAACAATTATAAAAAGGCCTATGATGAAATTTCTAGAATTTTAAATTTATATTTTAATTATCAAGAAATAGAAAAAAAGGAAACACTTCCTTACAAAGATCAATCTACACCTTCAATTAATTTATTTAAAAAGTTTAATGAAACAAACACCAAACCCCCTTTTATTGGTCCACGAAATAACAAGAAAATTCACTATAAAGAACCTTCTGGAAGCTGTTTGAAAAATAGCGACTGGGTAGATAAATATTATGGGGTTCCATGTGGACATTGTATGAAAATAAAACCATTTATGGATCAATTATATGATCTCAAAATTTTATAATGGAACTAATCGCTACTAATCATTTTTAAACTAAAAATATATTAAGACAAAGATATGTATTTTAAAAAAGTAACAATGAAAGAATATAGAAAATAGACAATAAAAAAAAAAAAAAAAAAAACAATAAATCAATTTTTTATTATACAAAAGTTTTTTTCAGATATTTTCAAAAAAGACTAACTTTGATAATTGTGATAGTGGTAACTACTTTTTAGTTTTTTATTATAAGAAAAAGTAAAATAATTCACTGTTTACAAAATAGTTGGCAGAGAAAGTCAATATTGACGATTGATGGACCTCTTTCTTCATATTCCACATTTGTTGAAAAGTTGAGAGTGAAGCTAAAATTGAACCACCAACCGAGACTGAGTATTTACTTTTTGGTGGAGAAACAATTTTAACCCTTGTGGCTGATGGGGCTAAAGCAGTTAATTTTTTGAACATATGATCAGCAATACCTGGGAACATAGTTGAACCACCTGATAAGACGATATTATAATATAAATCTTTACTGATACCAACATCACATTTCATGATAGAGTTGTAAGTAGTTTTGTGGATACCATCTGACCTCATACCTAAGAATGATGGTTGGGATAAGGCTTCTGGACATCGGAAAAGTTCTTTACCAATGGTGATGAGTTGACCATCCGGTAATACGTATGGTTTTTCAAAAGCAATTGATGAGGCAGAAGTTTGCATTTCAGTTTCAAAATCTAAGGCGACGTAGGCTAATTTTTTTGATATCTCTGAGGATATCTTTTTCATTACTGGTTGAAAACGAGTAGCCGAGTTCAGTTAACATTTTGGCCATAGAGTCGGTTAAATCACGACCTAAACGTAAAGATGGTATATGGTAAAGTATAGCCTTCGTAGATTGGAACAGTATGTGAAACACCATCACCTGAATCAATAACAATACTGGTGTTACAACCTGAGGCATATAATGATAATACAGCTTGATTAGAAACATACATGACTGGGGTTCTGAAGGTTTCAAACATACTTTGGGTCATTTTTATTCTATTGTTTTTTAGATTTAATGGATTATTTTATTAAATTAAATAAATAAATACAAACAAATAAACAAACAAAAATCTAAATAAATAAAAAATTAAATTATTAATTTTATAAATAAATTTATATATAAATAAAATGGAGAGGGGAGAAGTTCAAACTTTAGGTATGTTTTATTAGGTTAGTAGCCTATAAGAAAAAAAACTAATTAATATAAAATAAATTATTTATAGTTATTGATAATGGTTCAAGTATGTGCAAAGCTGGTTTTGCTAGTGACGATGCCCCAAAAGCTGTTTTCCCATCAATTGTTGGTCGTCCAAGATATTATTTAATTTGGATTATTTTAAATAAAAAAATCTTTTTGTAAAAAAAAAATAATAAGAAAAATTAAAAGATGGATGATAACAATTTATAAATATATTGAATAACCATTTATTAGTATTTTATATGAAATAAAAAATATAACACTTCATATTGATAAATATAAATATTAATAGTTTTAAAAAAAAAAAATAAATAACCAAAAAAAATAAAAAAAAAAATAAAATTAAGTTTTGGTATTTTTAAATTTTTGAAAAATCAACAAATGTTAATAAATTACTTGGTCTTTTTAGATTATTATAGATTTATAAACTCTAGAGTTTATAATGATTTCATAAACACCCCTCTTTTATTGATCCAAAAAAAGTAAACAATTTACTATATAAAACCCCACAGGTTTCTCTCAACATTATATAGATTTAAACCCATTTGTGGATTAATTAATTGTTTGCATTGATAAAAAAGATAGTTTTATAAGGGAGCAAATAGTCAATTAAATACTTCTAATATAATAGTTTATTGTTGGTATTTTTAAAAGGATAAAACCATCAATTAAAAATATTGTTTAGATAATAAAATTAGTAAATAAGTAAATAAAAAGTTGTTTATTTAGAAGCATTTTCGATGAACAATTAATGGGCCTGATTCTTCATATTCTTCTTTTGAAATCCACATTTGTTGGAAAGTTGAGAGTGAAGCTAAAATTGAACCACCTATCCAGGAAGAGTATTTACGTTTTGGTGGAGTAATGATTTTAATTTTCATGGTTGATGGGGCTAAAGCAGTTAATTCTTTGTTCATACGATCAGCAATACCTGGGAACATAGTTGTACCACCCGAAAAGACTATATTACCATATAATTTTTTATGGATGTCGTCAGCACATTTCATGATTGAGTTGTAAGTGGTTTTGTGGATACCATCTGACCTCATACCTAAGAATGATGGTTGGAATAAGGCTTCTGGGCAACGGAAACGCTCGTTACCGATGGTAATGACTTGGCCATCCGGTAATTCGTATGATTTATCAAAAGCAATTGATGAGGCAGCAGTTTGCATTTCAGCCTCAAAGTCTAAGGCGACGTAGGCTAATTTTTCTTTGATATCTCTGACGATTTCATGATTGGTGGTTAATGAGTAACCACGTTCAATTAACATTCTGGCTATGTAGTCGGTTAAATCACGGCCTGCCAAATCTAAACGTAAGATGGCATATGGTAAAGCATAACCTTCATAGATTGGAACAGTATGTGTAGCCCCATCACCTGAATCTATAACAATTCCAGTGGTACGATCTAAGGCATACAATGATAACGCAGCTTGATTATAAGCATACATGGCTGGGGGTTTGAATTCTTCGAACATAATTTGGATCATATTTTCTCTGTTAGCTTTTGGATTTAATGGAGATTCAGTTAATAAGACTGGGTGCTCTTCTGGATCAACACGTAATTCATTATAGAAAACATGATGCCAGATTTTTCTCATATCAATCCAGTTGGTAACGATACCTTTTTCAATTGGGTAGCTGAGGGTTAAGATACCTCTCATTGATTGGGCTTCATCACCAATATATGAATCTTTTATACCCGGCCTTAACATAACACCAGTGTGTCTTGGACATCCAACAATTGATGGGAAAATAGCTCCTGGGGCCTTTTCACCAGCAAAACCAGCTTTGCACATACTTGAACCATTATCAATAACTATAGATAATTTATTTTATATTAATAAGTTTTTTTTCAAATAAGGCTACTAACCAAATTAAACATACCTAAAGTTTGAACTTCTTCCATTTTATTTATATATAAATTTATTTATATAAATTTATTAATAAATTTTTATTTATATGATATATAATTTATTTTAATTTTTTATTTATTAAAATGTTTATTTGTTTATTGGTTTGTATTTATTTAATTTGGATTATTTAAAATTAAAAAAAAAATTTTGTAAAAAAAATAAAAAGATGGGAATAACGATTTATTAGTATTTAATATGAAATAAAAAACTATAATACTTCATATAGATAAATATAAATAAATATTAATATTAAAAAAAAATTATTAGAAAAAATAAATTGATAACCAAAAAAAAAAATAAAAAAAAATAAAAAAATAAAATTTTTTTTTTATAAAACTTAAATTAATTTAAGTTTTGGCATTTTTAAATCTTTGAAAAATCAACCAATGTTAATAAATTACTTGGTTTTTTTAGATTATTATGGATATATACAGAGTTTATAATGATTCATTTGTTACCGACTACAAAAAGAATCACCTCACAAAGCCCCACACCCATAGAATATAATTTAATGTGTGGGTTTAATAAAATAAACACCCCTACTTTTATTGACCCAGAAAGAGTAAAATAATTTACTATATAAAACCTCACAGAGGTTGTTTAGTACTAAATGAAATCAAATTAGGTGTCAGATTTCTGTCAACATTGTATAAATTTAAACCAATTTGTGGGTTAATTAATTGTTGTTAATTTATAAGCATTTTCGATGAACAATTGATGGGCCTGATTCTTCATATTCTTCTTTTGAAATCCACATTTGTTGGAAAGTTGCAAGTGAAGCTAAAATTGAACCACCAATCCAGACAGAGTATTTACGTTCTGGAGGAGAAACGATTTTAACCCTGGTGCTTGATGGAGTTAAAGCAGTTAATTCTTTGAACATACGATCAGCAATACCTGGGAATATAGTTGAACCACCTGATAAGACGATATTATAATATAAATCTTTACGGATATCGACATCACATTTCATGATGGAATTGTAAGTGGCCTCGTGAATCCCATCTGACTCTATACCTAAGAATGATGGTTGGAATAAAGCTTCTGGGCAACGGAAACGCTCGTTACCGATGGTGATGACCTGCCCATCTGGTAATTCGTATGATTTTTCTAAAGCGGATGATGAAGCAGCAGTTTGCATTTCAGCTTGGAAGTCTAAAGCGATGTAGGCTAATTTTTCTTTGATGTCTCTGGTGAATTCTCTTTCATCAGTGGTGGTGAACGAGTAACCACGTTCAGCTAAGATTTTGGCCATATAGTCGGTTAAATCACGGCCTGCCAAATTTAAACGTAAGATGGCCTGTGGTAAAGCATAGCCTTCGTAGATTGGAACAGTGTGTGAAACACCATCACCTGAATTCATAACAATACCGGTGTTACGACCTGAGGCATATAATGATAATACAGCTTGATTAGAAACATACATGGCTGGGGTGCTGAAGGTTTCAAACATAATTTCGGTCATTTTTTCTCTATTTACTTTTAGATTTAATGGAGCTTCAGTTAATAAAACTGGGTGTTCTTCTGGTGCAACGTGTAATTCATTGTAGAAAGTATGGTGCCATATTTTTTCCATATCATCCCAATTGGTGACAATACCACGTTCAATTGGGTATTTGAGTGTTAATATACCTCTCTTTAATTGAGCCTCATCACCGATATATGTATCTTTTTTACCCATACCAACCATAAAACCAGAGTATCTTATACGACCAATAATTGATGGAAAAACAGCTTTTGGGGCTTCATCACCAGCAAAACCAGCTTTGCACATACTTGAACCATTATCAATAACTATAGATAATTTATTTTATATTAATAAGTTTTTTTTCATATAAGGCTACTACTAACCAAATTAAACATACCTAAAGCTTGAACTTCCTCACTCTCCATTTTATGTATATATATAAATTTATTTATATTTTTATTTATATAATCAATTAATTGTTTTTTTATTTATTTAAATGTTTATTTGTTTATTTTATTTGAGTTAGAGTAAATTAAATTAAAAAAATTAAATCTTTTTGTAAAAAAAAAATAAAACCAAAATAAAATAAAATAAAGTGAATAACCATTTATTAGTATTTAATATGAAATAAAAAATAAACTATAACATTTCATATAGATAAATATTAATAGTTTTAATAAAAAATTATTAGAAAAAAAATAAATTGATCAAAAAAAAAAAATTTCAAAATTTAATTTTTTTTTAATAAAATATAAATAAAATAATATTTATTTTTTAAGCCAAAAAACATAAATTAAATAATGTTGACTTTTCAAAACTTTGGAAAATCAACAAATATTAATTAAATTATTTGGACTTAGAATGGATTCTTAATTGCAAATACTCTATCCTCTTTTAAAAAAGTTAGGAAATACCACCCAAGATAGATTATTGTCAATTCAATTTTCAAACCATTATCAATTATTCAACACCATAGAAAATTTCTCTTTATTTCCAATTTTTACGAATACCAATACTGGAACAATAAATCAACACAGATAAGCAATAGACAATAAACTATAAATAAAAAAAAAAAAGTAAAAATAATAAACTATAACAATTATTGTTTTTTTAAAAATAAAAGTTTATTTTTGACATTTTTCAAAAGTTATTAATATTTTTGTTTCTTTTTATTTGGGGCAGTGGTAATGATGTTTTGGTTCTGTTTGTAATATTTTGAAAAAAAAAAGAAAAATTGTTTTTAAATTATTTTCAATTTTTTGAGTTGTTACCCAAAAAATCAAGGGTTTTTTTTTTTTATTATTTTCATAGTTTTTTATTTATAGCTGGTTTTTTTTTATTTTATTCCCCCATTAAACAAATAATTAAAAACGAAAACAATCAAATACAAATATTTATAAAAAAAATAAAAATATATAATGATTTAAAAATTATTTTATTAATAAAAAAATAAATAAAAAAAAAAAAAAAAACAAAAAAAAAAAAAAAGATTTTATTGAATAAAAAAATGTGATGATTCTTAATAGTGATGTCATTTTTCACATAATCTTCACCATATCGAAAATTTTTTTGGTTTATTTAAAAGAAATAAAAATATTTTCCTAAAACCTCAAAAAAGATATTTATTTCTTTATGATATTAATTTTTTTTAAAAAGTTGGCTCGGAACTTTTTAGTTTTTTCAAAAATAAAAAAAAAAATAAAAAAAAGCTCCGTTTTATTTTGAACACAAAAAAAAAAAAATATTTGATATCAAATTGTTATAAGTGATATATATATATTATACTTATATAATATATAGCTTTTAAAAATGAATTTAGATTGGGGTAAAAATAAATAGATATTTTTAGAAAAAATTCAAATACTAATTTTTATATTTTTTATATTTTTCATTTTTAATTTTTAAATTTTTTGAATATTTTAAAATAGATACAATTCTTTCCTACAATACTGTTAAAATTGTAAGAATTAGAGATAGAAGATTAGGTAATGATTTAATAAAATTAATTTTTTTTTTAGTCTAATTGAAATATAATATTAATATTTAAATAACTATTTATATAGGTTTACTTCATTTACTTTTTATGGTATTTATTGTTTCATATGTTGTAGTTTATCAAGCAATTTATAAAAAAGGATATTTATTATCCGAAGTCCCAGTATGCTCCATCAGAACAACATTAATGGCTGTAAGTATAACTATTATGTTATATGTATATTTATAATAGGGAGTGTATTAACTATTTTTGCAATTTTAAGCCAAAAGAAATTGATACAGAACGTCCTTACTGCAAATCTAATAATAATACCTATGCTTACTCTAAACTAGAATGTGAGTATTGGGATGATCCATTGGTATTATTTCCACCAGGTGACGATGTTAGTTTTACAGCTTCAACTAGAGTTAAAATAACAAATCAAACAACTGATGGTTGTTCTTTCAAAGACCCAAGATGTAAATATAAGGATGTTTCCGAAGAAAGTATTTATGTTGCTGATATCGAAAAATATACTGTAATTATTAAAACTCTTATTTAAATTTATAATCATATTCATTTTTTCTAATGTTTAATTTATTTAATATTAAAGGTAATGATTGATCACACTATGTTTTCACCACAATCCCAAATTCAATACAATGCTCGTGACTTATCAGGCTACATTCTTGATAGAGATGGAAATGAAATTCAAATAAATGATACAAACAATAGAGTTGGTGTTAAAGGTCAATATGATGTTCTTGAAATCGGCAAACTTTTAGAGCTTGGAGGTATTGATTTAGATGCAGGTAGGTACAATTTAATAAAATATAAAGCATGGTAAATGTAGAAATATAGATTTATTAATTATTTTTTAATAGAATCACCAGATAAAGGAGATCCAAATAGATATACTGGTATTATTGCATTAGTATTTATTAAATATTCAAATACATTTTCATATAGTACTGGCAATTTCAAATATACATATTCAATTAGACAAGTAAATGACACCATTTACAATGTAAAAGATCCTATTTATTTTGATAGTTTAGGCAGTAGAATGGTTTTAAAAAGATATGGCATTAGATTACTTTTTGTTCAAGATGGTGCTATTGGTTCATTCAATTTCCAATCTTTATTATTAACTGTAATTATTTAAATTATAATTTATATTTTTAATTATATTTTTATTAATTTATTTTAATGTTATTTAGATGGTATCAGGTCTTGGTCTTTTAACAGTTGCAACATTAGTTGTTGATCAATTAGCAGTTAGAATTTTACCACAAAGAAAGAGTTACTCATCCGTTAAATTCCAAGTAACTGAATCTATGTCAAGTATGTATTGATTACAAGTTTTATTATAATATTAATAATTAATAATAATATTAATATACTTTTTTTTTTAAACTTTAACAGAGAAAAAGAAAATTATTGATGATTCAGGTGAAGAATTATTATATACAAAGATTGAAGGTTTATAAACCCACTTTCTTCAATTAAATTAAAATATAAATTAAATTGATTTATTAATTTTAAAAAATGCATATTTATAAATAAATTAATATAAAATATAATTTGTTTTATTAACATTTTATTTTATTATATTCAAAACCACAAAATTCAAATAAATAGAAATAAATTTTTTTTTTTTTTTAAACCAAAAACTAAAAAAAAATTAGGTTTTAAATAAATTAATATTCATTATTTCACTTTTTTCTTCTTGGTCTTAACAGCACCATTTGTTTTAGGTGTGTGGGTTTTAAAAAAAATCATTTTTGAATACAATAATATTATTGAATGCACTTTTGAATAGACTGTCTTTGAAATATTAAAGTTTAGGACTTGTAGTATATTATCATTACTATTATTAATACTATTAATTATTTGTAATATACTTATGATCTTTTTTTATACATCTTTAAATTATAAATTCTGATTCAAAAATTATTTTAAAAAATAAATTAAAAAAAAAAAAACGAAAAAAAAAAAAAAAATATTTATTATTTTTTTTTATTTTTTTTATTTTTTTATTTATTTTTGTATAAAAAATAATAATAATAAAATGAGACGATTTTTAATAAATAACAATAGTTCATTTATTAAAAGAGATTGCAACTCATTTTCAAAAATAAAAAATTTTAACCCAAATAATGATAAAATAATACCACTTTTTTCAACAACATTAAATAATAATGGTAGTAAAAATGAAATAAATAGTAATAATAATAATAAAACAGAAATTAATAATAACAATATAGAAAATAAAAATAAAATTAATATAATTGGTCTACCGAAATTGGATTTAATAGAAAAATTTGAAAAACTAAATTTCCCTAAATATTCAGTAGACCAAGTTTGGAAATTAATGTATAATAAAGGAATAGATCAAATTAAGGATTTTAATTTAATTTCAAAAGAGAGGAAATCAATAATGGAGGAAAATTTCAAGCTTGACACTGGAACAATAACAAAGCATCAGTTGTCGGTGGATGGTACAAGAAAGTTTTTAATATCATTCGATGGCGATGAAGTAGAGTCAGTGTTTATACCAGAGTCATCAAGAGGCACATTATGTGTATCAAGTCAGGTTGGATGTACATTTGCATGCACATTTTGTTTTACAGGTACACAAAAATTTAAGAGAAATTTAACAGCCAATGAAATTGTTGCACAGGTTGTAGCTGCAAGAAAACTATTGAACGATTTTAATGCAAGTGAAGAAAGACTGTTAACCAATATAGTGTTCATGGGTCAAGGTGAACCATTTTACAACTATAGAAATGTAAAAAAAGCAATTTCAATTATTACAGATTCGAATGGTTTAGCCATTGGTAAATCTAAAATCACAGTTTCAACAAGTGGTGTTGTACCAATTATCGAACGTTTAGGTACAGATTTCCCAGGAATAGGTTTAGCAATATCACTACACTCACCAAATGATGAAGTTAGAAGTAAGATTGTGACTGCTAATAGACAATGGCCCATTGAAGAATTGGTTCAATCATGTATCAAATTTTCAAAAACTACAAAATCACGTATTACTTTGGAATATGTCCCGTTACAAGATGTACATGACACTGAACAAGATGCACTAGATCTAATTCCCCTATGTAAAAGATTCCCATCACTAGTCAATATAATACCTTTTAATCCATGGCCAGGTTCACCCCACGAATCTTCAACCAACAATCAAATTCAAATATTTGCAAATATTTTAGAATCCAATAATGTAAAAACAACTATTAGACAATCAAGAGGAAGAGATATCATGGCCGCATGTGGTCAATTAAAATCATAAAAATAAAAATTTAAATTATTATTTTTTTTTTGTAAATAATATTAATATCTTTATTTTTAATAATAATTATCTCTAAATATTTATAACTTTAACCTAGCAACATCAAAACTCATAAATGATCCTCTCAACTTTGCTGTTATTGGAGGAATTCTAATTTTTTTCCCTATTTTTTTGTTTTTTTAAAAAAAAATGGAAATAAAAGAGTTGTTATTTTAGGAAAGTTGATATTATATGGACTTAATAGTAATATTTAAGAAATGTGTCAAAATAAGTTTTTTAATGATTATTATATCATGATTTTTTTTTGAAATCTTGATTGTAAATAAAATATCTATTACTATTTTTTACCAATTTAAAAAATGATTTTATGATAATCAAATTATGGATTTTGGATTTGGGATTTTTGATTTTCATTAACAAAACTTAAATAACTTAAATCTGTGGTCCAATAATAATATCATTATTTTGAATTTAAACGCCGCAAAAAGTGACATAAATATTTTAATTGGTTTATTTATTTTTTTTAAAAAAAATTGATTGAAATAAAATAATACATTTTAGACCAAAAAAAAAAATTTAAACCAACCCACCATGTTACATTGTCTAAAAAAAAAAATTTGCTGAAAAATCTAAAAATTATTTGAATTTAAAGAAAAAATCATTCACATCATACCCAGATCTTGCTTATAAAAAAAAAATAAAAAAAAAAATATTAAATTCAAAAAAAATAAAATTTTTTAACAAAAGCATTCCATGAATAAAAAAAATCTAGAAAAAAAGAATATTTTATTAATAACTATGCCCCAATATAATTATGAATTATATGTGAAAAATAATGTTATTTACACAAGAGACAACGCAAACACCAACGCCAATACAACAATACCTGTGATTTTACTCAATTTAAAAATTAAAAAAAAAAAAAATAAAAAAAAAAATATATAAAAAATAAAAGAAACCAATTAGAAATTTTTGACAATATAAAAAAATAAAAAAAATATATCATTTATTTTAGAATATATTATTACCTAAATAATATAAATATAAATAAAAATAAATATAAATATCTTTTTTATTTTTTATTATTTTATTTTTTTTCTTTCTCTTTTTTTATTTTCTTTTTTTTTTTTTTAAATTTCAAATTAAAAAAATTTAAAAATAAAACTAATACACGCTAGCTTAAGTTTATCAAACACAAATGTGCAAAGAAAAGTGAGTAATTCATAGAACTTATAGTTTATTTCTTTTTCTTACCCCAAACTACGTAGTTTTTTTTTAAATACGAAAAAAAAAAAGAAAAAATTATTTATATTTGTATAAAATTTTTTTACCTTTACACCATTTTGTTGCTGTTGCTATTTAATACACTTAATCAATCATATCATACAAAAACATCACACCAACTAGATAAAAAAACGATTTTTTAATATTTTAATTATTTTTTTTGTTATGTATAAAAAATTCTCTTTTTAAAGTACTTAGATATTATTTTTTTTCATTGAATTGAAAAAAGGTTTTTTTTATTTATTTATTTTTTAAAAATTGTTTTTTTAATATTTTTCAAATTATTTATTTTTTTTTTTTATTTTTTTAAAAATAACTTTTTGGTTTGTGATTTATTTTCTTTTTTTTTTTTTTTTTTTTCTCTCTGTGTTGGTGTTTTGGTAGTGTGTTTTTTTGTTTTGGTAGTGTGTTTAAATCATTTTTTTTAAAAATAAATTTTTTTTTAAAAAAAAAGAAAAATCAAAAAAAAAAAAATAACCATCAAACAAAAATAATTTTGAAATCAATAATTTATTTTTATATTTTAATAATAAATGAAATTCAATTATTATTTTATAAAATAAATACAAATTAAAAATAAAGTTAAATTAAATTAACAATTAAAAAAAAAGTAATTAAATTAGTTTTAAAAATAAAAATAAAATTAAAATTAAATTTTTTTCGTTGTTTTAAAATTTTTTTTAAAAATTTCTTTTTATATACTAATTTTTTCATTTTTCTCATTTTTTTTATTGGGCATGTTTCATTCATTTCAAATTTCTTCATGATAGTGAAAGTCAATAACAATAATAATAATAATATATTAAATAATTATAGTATTAGTAATAATAATAATAATCAACAAAATTATATTGGTGGCGGATTCAGTTGGGGCAATGCAAATATAAATGTTATTATTACACCTACATTACAAACCAATGATCAATTGGAAGAAGCAATTTTACAAAATTATGAAATTATTGAATCATGGATCGAAAGTAATCAACAACATTTTTCCAATGTAAACGATACCACTGTATATATTTATTTAGATTTAGAGACTTTTAGGGTTTCATCGGTATATAGATCTCATCCAACCTATAAGACTTCAAAAAAGAACATGGTTGGCTTTACATGTATATTTTCTGGTATTGGAAAGTATACGAAACTTACCCAAAGTACATTCATCTCTAATAATAGCGGAGTTACATCATATAACAACCCAAATATTTCACTATCTACAAATAACCTATCACTCTTATCCTCTACCACCAATACTACAGGATATGCTTCGCCACTCTTGTCAATGTCACCCTCATCCTTATCACCAAATTCAACATCACCATTATCATCTCCACCTATATCCTCATCACCTATCATTAATGGAAATCATTATAATATGAATGTAACAAGTTCAGTTAGTAATAATGGTTATCAATATTCAAGTGGCAGTAGTAGTAGTAGTAGCCACCATAATAATTATGATATTGTTAATAATTTATATTATAGTTGTTCAAACGTAAAAAATAATATCTATGACTCAGCTCACTATGTATTGGTTCAAAGTGTAAATAGAGCTTTAAATAAACTTATTAATGGAATCTTATCATTCAATCTTCAATATGAACAAGTCATATCCTATAAGAGAGGTGAGGGTTTAGATTTCCCACACATTGGTTTGGTCCAAACAAGTTTACCAGACCAACCTTTTTCTCCATTATCTTCGCCAATTTCCTCTGCTCCATCATCCCCAACTAAAGATTTTGAAAATAATAATGACCACATTTATATTTATAATGAACATGCAATAATATCTAGTGTTGATCAACAAGAAGAAGATCACTTAGAAAAAAAACATATAGAGCCATCTCCACCTGGAACACCTTTTCTTACAAATAACAATCACATTCACAATATTTTTTCAAGTTATTTTATAGATCATTCTAAAAAAATAATACCAACCATTAAGCGTACTTTAGAACGTTCAACAACATCACCAAATTTAAACTCATCATTTGACCAAATTAAAATACACAGCAATAATCATATAGATATTGGTCCAAGTAGTACTATCGATACCATTGGAGTTAATGGTGGCAATCCAGCTAGTCCATTAAAAATACCATCAAATGGTTTCATTTCATCGCCATCTTTGCAATCATTAGTTACTAACACTGCTTCCGTTGAACCACTTTTACTCGAGCAACCATTTTCATCAGCATTATCAAGTTCACCTTCATCAGAATTCGATAAACCAAAGTTACCAGCTTCACCAGCAAAGTTAAGTGCTCTCCAAGCCAAATTACATTCAATTTCAAAAGAGATTGGTGATTCAGAGGCAATGTATGTAAATGAAACCAGTGATTTAAATGGTGCTGCTTGTATGTCATCTTTATATGGTTGGGATTTCGAAAAGAAAGAGCAGTTTGGTAATCCATTTGCTGATTGTTTCTGTATATCAATTGATCCACATCCAATGATTAGGGCAGTACTTTCAGTAGCTGATGGTTCAGGTCACGGAGAAGATCCAAAAAGAGCTGCTTGTATGTCTGTTTTGGGTTCAAACCAATATATTGAAAGTTTATACGAACAGGAAATTCAAACTACAAATGATTTACTAACAATTGTTGGTAACTCAATTTTTGAAGGTCACAAGAGAATTATTGAAGATGAATATTACAAAAATCTTGATATTCATTTTGAACCAAAGGGTGCTACAACATTTTGTATTGGAGTTTTATCAAAATTAGTCGAACCAAATAATAGTAATAGTAATAATAGTAATGGCTTAAATGGTTCAGTTTATAATAGTAATAGTAATATTAACAATAATAGTGTAAATGGTAACAACAATTGTAATAATAATGTAAATATTGAAAATAATAATAATAATAATAATAATAGTAATAATAATGGTAATCAATCACCAAGATTAACACAAGGTGATCAACAAGATTCATTTAAAAGTTATATTAAACCACAATCCTCAGCTAGAAAAAATAGTCGTGGTAATGGTTCAATTCCAAGGTACATTGATCAAAATTATGTGAATGGTGATGAAAATACTGGTGGTAGTAGTGGTGAAACATCACCAAATATATTTCAATCAAATAGTCCAATTATTTCATCACAAAGATTAAATAATCCAATAGCAAATCACCACATCCCAATGCCACCATCATTAAATAGAATGTGTTTATCACAATCAAACGATTCAGAAATTTCTTCCATCATATCAGAATCACCAGAATTGATGATATCTAAAAAAACAAGTGTAAAGCCAATCGAAATTCCAAATAGTAATGGTTTCGCTACAAGTCCAAATAATTTATCACCAAGAAAATCTTTATCACCAACTAAAAATACAGTACCAGCAAAATTACCACCACCAACATTACCACCACGTCCACATAATCTAATAATGGGCAATAATAATTACAGCCACAATTTAAATATTAACAGCTTAAACATTAAAGATCCATGGGTTTTTATAGTTGGTTCGGTTGGTGATACTAAAGCATACAGATGGTCTCATATAAATGGTAAAGTTATAGAGATTACAAATAGAGCTAAATTAACACCAGGTGCAGGTGGTAATGTTAATCAATTAAAGGTATCCTCAAGAAATTTCAATGATGCAGGAGGTCAATTGGGTTGGATGTGGGGCGGTGATCAAGATAAATCTTGGCCACTTGATGCAGCATCATATCCAGAAACAAAGAGTGACAATTTAAGAAGAGAACTCATTATAGCTAGAAACGAAAAATGCAAACCATTACTCACAAATCTACATTTTGCAATGTCGTTGGTTGTACCAGGTGATAGGGTTTTCATTGTTTCAGATGGTGTTTCAGATAACTTTTTAACAGAAAATGTTTCACTCGGCGCCAGTAATCAACAATCTACAGGTAAAATAAAATCAACTAGGGAACAAATTGAGGACAATATGACAAGGTTTTTAGATGGCTTACCTAAAGAATCGTTAGCAACATGTGAAACGATGTCGCAGGCTATTATTACCCATTGTATTGAAAACACAGAGCCATTCCGTAACCTTCAAGAAGAAACCAGCAAACTTTTATTAAAGCTTAAAGAAATTGAAGCCCATTCACCAAATGATTTCACTAAAGACCCATTATATCAAACTTATAAAAAACTACATAATCAGAAAACCAATGCCCTTAGAAAAATTAAAACTGGTAAACCTGATCACTCATCAATAGTAATATATCAAGTACCACATAATTAAATAAATAATAAAATAATTTTATTATCTAAATAATCATAAATTCGAAAAAATTATTTATCTTTTTTTTTATTTTTTATTTTTATTATTTACATTCTTTTAATATTATAACTCTAATAATTAACTCTTGAGGGTGTGACTGGCTTGAACTCTTTGTGGAGTTGAGGAGTTCTTTCTTTGTAGTCTCTTGCAAAATATTTCATAATATTGCTAATTGAAAGCATACCAAAGCAGCTCTTTTTATCGCAAGTTAACCAAAGACGATGAAGACGGTTCTTGTAGAGAATTTGTAATGCATCTTTAAATTTGGTATTTAAAGGTACAACGCTATCTTTTTTTCTTCTAGCAGAGGTAATTTTATAAAAATCTTTGGCGGGTTCTAATAATAGTTTGAATGAATCTGGGTCAATGCCACGAAGATCTGTAATACTAAGATCACCAACTATTTCACCATCTTTACCATGTAATACAATGCTTGATTTGTTTTGTTGCATCATTACGTAATAGCATTGGATTGTCATAACGTCACAATTAATGGAAAGGAGATCTTTTTCGATGATATCCAGTTCACTGATTGGTTGTTCAAATTCTTTTCCATCACCAATTTCTTTTTTATTCTCTAATATAAATTCTAAAATATCAGTTTGGGACATTATACCTTTGGTATTTGCATCTTCATCAATTACAACTACTCTATGAATATCTTTTGAAAAAATCTCATCAACAAGTTGATGAATTGATCCATTTTCATCAACTGGAATGAAATGATCTCTTTTAGATTGATCTATTTAAAACAAAAATAAAAAAAATAAATAATTAGAAAAAAATTATTATTATTTAAATTCTATTTTTATAATTTATAGTTACTTATTAAATGAAATACAGGTTGTTCAGCAAATTTCTCACCTTCACTAACATCATTACATAGTCTTACCCAGTCATGTCCTAATTTATTTTTTAAAAAAAATAATATTAATATAAAATAATAATATAATTATTGGTATTTAAAATAAATTAATTACCTTCTTTCTGTGGATATTTTAATAAAAATGCATCGATAATTGAGTGTAAGATATCGTTCATATCTATAAATCCCAAATAATCACCAGTTGATCTTTCTTTAACTGGCAATGATAATATTTTATTATCTGCAAGGATTTTTAATGCATCCTTAACTTTATAATCATCATAGACTGAAATTACATCAATTTTTCTTTTGTTTTCCCAATAGGAATTATTTGTGTTTAAAACATCTTTTATTTTTTTATCCATTTTGTATGTGTATTTATTTTTATAATTTGTTTAAATTTCTAAAATTTATTTTTTTAATTTTTTTAATTTTTTTAATTTTTTTATTTTTTTATTTATTTATTTATTTAATGAGAGTATTTATTTATTAAGTTAATATTTTATAAGATAGTTATAAAATTTTCTTATGATGTGAATGTTAGTTTAATTTTAGAAAAAAAAAAAAAAAAAGAAAAAAAAAGAGGATTAAATCTATAAAATAATTTTTTTCAATTATAATTAATTTTAAAAAAAATTTATTATAATATGACCCTTTGTTGAGGTAATGTTGTTGAAATATTGTTGAAAATTTTCTTTGTATGTATGCTATAGTATTTTAGAAAAATAAAAAATAAATAAATTAAAAAAATAATTTTTTTTAATTTCTAAAAAAGGAATTTAAATAATTTATTTATTTATTTTTTTTTATTTTTTTTTATTTTTTTTTTTAGAAAAAATTTAAAAATAAAATCTAATGAAAATTTAAAAATAGTACTATTAGAAAAAAAAAAAGAGAAAAAAAAAAATAATTTTTATTTTATTAATTTCGGATTAATAAGAGAGTCTAAGGGCAAGCCTAATGTCCCATCCTCTTCAAAACATTCATTATCTAAAAATGATGACTCGCCAAAATTTGGTGCAATTCTTATATATAGGTTGTTATAATCATCTATTGATTCAATTACACCCTCCTATATAAAAAAAAAAAAAAAAAAAAAATTAAAATAAAAAAGTTAATATAAATATTTATAAATTGAAATTTTTATAATTTATTAATTGGTATTATACATACAATATAATCTGAAACCTCTAAATTATAATTTAAAAGTACATTCTTTTGAAACGCTATTTTGTCATTTACTTTTGGTTCAACTAAATTGCTAAAATTTGAATAGTTTTTTAATAATTTTTCTCTACTGTTGCTTTTGCTATTACTGTTGTTATCGGCATGTTGTTTGTTATTTTGTTGCTTTTTATTTTGCTTTGAGTTTTGAATTTTATTATTTGGTGGTGATAATAAGCCTATGTTGTTTGGGGTTGTAGTGGTAGTGTTGACAGTTGCATCGTTTAATTTTTGTTGGAGTTGTTTCTTTTTTTCTTCAATTAAAAACTCGTCTATGTTTTTATAACTGATATTATAACTATAGTTTGTTAGATAATCATTGCAAAAATTTTCTGAATAGCTTTGATTAATATTTTTTTTTTTATTTTTTTTTTTGTTGGGTGTTGATTTATTTTCTACTTTTTCTGGTTGCGGTTGTTTCTGTTGTTGTATTTGTTTTTGTTGTGGTTGTTGTGGTTGTTGTGGTTGTTGTGGTTGTTGTGCATTTAAACTATTTAAAAAGTTTGAAATTTGATTATCTTCAAATGGCCTTATTCTTTTTTGTGGAGGTTTAGTTGGCATATATTGGTTTGTTGATATATCTTTTTCTTTTTGAGATTCTAAAGAAAAAGGAATGGAAGCACTGATATCACTATCGGATCGGCTTTCATTGTCATTGCTTTTTTCACTTTCACTTTCACTGCTGCTTTCACTTTCACTTTCGCTGCTTTTTTCACTTTCACTTTCACTTTCACTTTCACTTTCACTTTCACTTTCACTTTCACTTTCACTTTCACTGCTGCTATCACTTTCGCTACTACTGCTACTTTCAGATTCGCTCTTGTATTTTCTTTTTTTGATATTCTTTTCTTTATTTATAATTTTTGATACTATTATCTCGTCATCTTTATTTAACTCTTTTATTATTAATATATGTTCTGATGGTAATATAGCATAACCTTCTTTATTTAATAATACAAAATCATTCTTTTTCCTATCTATATTGTATCTTTTTGAAATTAATGTATATATGTACTGCATAGTGTTGTTATTGCCAGTACCACTATTATTACTATTATTGTAGATGTTGATATTGCTACTCGATATTACATCATCGGATATAAACATTATAACCTTATTATTATTCTTTGATAACCCATTTTCTATATTTAATTTTAAAATCATTATTTATTATAATAAATATTTATTATTATTATTGGTATTGTCTATTATAGTTAATATACTACTATTATTAATGTAATAGTAGATAATAATATTGAATACTATTTATAATAATTAATAAACCAAAAAAAAAAAAATTCATAGCAAAAAATTTTAAAAAATTTTAAAAAAATGTGAAAAAAATTTACCCTCTTTTTTTTTAAATTTTTTAAATTATAAATTTTTTTTTTTTTTTTTTTTATTATTTTAATTTTATAATTTTTATCAATAGATTAATAAAGAAATAACAAATAATATATATAAACTATATATAAAAATAACATAAAACCCATAAAATTTATTTTTCTTGTAATAAAATAATAAATACCAATAAACCGATGAAAATTAAATCAATCATTTAAATATTAAAATAAATAAAATATAGCATATTATGATTTCAAATTTTAATGAAAATTTTATAAATGATAATAATAAAATGAATAACAATCATAATAATAATAACAATGACAATAGTGTTAGAAGTAGAAGAGTAAATATTATATAATTATTTAAATTACTCGTCAAACTGGTTACTAATACATTCACATTATTTCTTTTTTTAAATATAGAATCAAGTTAGTTATAGAAGAAGAACAAGCTCAGGTGGTTCAATTCAAGCAAATGATGGCAAAGCTAAAAGAAGAATACCATCAAATTTAGAAAAAGACGATTTAGGTGAAATTAAAATTTCAAATTTTATTAATGGTTTTATTAATTCGCAAAAAAGTGAAGGCGAAGAAGATAATGAAAATAAATAGTTCAATGAACACCACTATACAATCTAATAATAATAATAATATAGATGCATTTTTTAATAATGAAAATGAAAACAATTCAAATTTTGATGAAAATTTTACACAACAAATCGATATTGGTTTACTAGACTTTCCATCGACACCATCATCAACACCAAAAAAGTCAATGACCACAACAACAAATAACAGTAAAACTCCATCAAAACAAAACCCAAAAACACCAAAATCAATTTTAAAAACACCCTTACATAAAATGACACCTTCAAAATGTTCAAAAGATAGTTGTACAAAATTAGATAATCATAATAATAAAACACCAAAATCATCATCATCATCATCAATCAAAAAACACCAAAAAACACCAAAAAATAAATTTGAAACACCAAAATCACCAGAGCAATCCCCTGTTAGTGATGGTAGTTTAGTTTTCGATAGCTCCAACCCTATACCATTCAAGATGCCAACTAAAGAAGAAGCTGAATTAGAACAAAAGCTTGCAGAGGAAAGAGAAAGATTAAGAATGGAAAGGATTGAAGAGTTAAAAAAAGAAAAGGAAAGATCTGAAAAAGAGAAATTAGAAAATATTAAAATAAAACAAGATAGTATAAATAAAGAGCATGATGAAATCGTCTCAAAGATTATTCAAGTAGATAATAAAAAGAAAGAAGAGGTATTATTATTAAAAAAGAGAAGAGAAGAAAAGAGAAATCAAGAAAAAGAAAGAAAAGAACAACTTAACAATCAACTTGTAGAATCACAAATCAAAGAAAAGGAAAACCTACTTACCAAGAGTAAATTAATATTAGAAAAATTCAATTTTAAAAACAATACAAGCTTAACTGAAGACAATGTAATTGAAGATAATAGTAATAATATCAATAGTAATAACACTAGTAATAACAACGATAATAATGATAATAATAGTATTGATGATATTAGTATGGCTGAACAAAGTGGTCTTGATAGTAATAATAAAAACAATAAGAGTACAGATAATCTTTTAAACTTTTTAAATAAATTTCCAACAACCTCAACTAATGCCGCATTAGATGAATCTGATATATCAATATGTGAAGAAGTCGGGAAAATATCAAATGAAATTAGATCACCAATCAAATTAAATATTTTTGATCTCACATATACACCACTCAAGCCACTCTCTCTTTCACCATTTATTAAAGATAAACTTTCAGATGCCCAAGAGAAATTTAAACAAGAGTTATTGAAACAGCAACAAGAACAACAAGAACAAAGAGAAAAAGAATCGTTTGTTAAAACAACCCAAAACACCATCTAAAACTCCTTTAACAACACCTTTAAAATCAGCATTAAAAAAATCATCATTGAAAGGTCAAAACTCAACTTTTAAAAATGTAAAGATTTCAACTATTAAAAAACAATACTCACCAATACAACCATCATCACAATATCAATACCAACCATTAGAGCATAATCAAAAACAACCAGTTAAACAATTCTTTTATCCACCAGATTATGAAGTTGACGAAGATTTATCAATTGATGAAACTTCAATCGATTTTAATACTAGCATTAATCAAGAGCAATCATCATTTTACAATAACACCCCATATACAAGTAATAATCACACCAGTGTTGATGAAATCTCTATTTCAAATAAAACTAGAAAAAATAAAGCAACCAAACAAAAAAAACAACAACAGAAGCAGGTAAAAGAAAAATCAACAAGAATTTTATCCAGATTTAATAACTTCATGTTAGATACCGATGATGAAGATGACGAAGATTATGAATCATCTGAACAAGAAAAACAGACTGTAAATAATTTTATTAAAAATACAAATAAAAGTAATAATATGAATATGAATAATAATAATAATATGGATAATAATATGAAGAATAATAATAACAATAATAATGTTAATAATAAAGTTAATAAAATAGAACCAATAGAAAAAAGAACACCAAGAGTATCATTTGAAAGCAATTTAAATACAAGTACAACTTCAGAATTAAATACTACAGTTGCCTCAACAGTAAAGAGTAATTTCTCATTAAACTCATTAGGTACAAAAACATTATCCTCTCCAAAATTATCGCCACAAAATCAAAAAATTTTCAACTTTTCATTCAACTCATCATTTGGTGATAATAACGCCAACGATGATGATGATAATAATAATGATATAAACACCTCAACCATTTCAATAATACCTGAAAAAATTAAAAATAATTTAACCACCAAATCAAATATATTTAATAATAATAACAATAATGTTTTAATCAGTAACAATAGAACGATCAACTTAGCCAATAAACAGTCACAACCTCCAAAAGAACCAGAATTTCAAAATGACAATAGTAGCGATCAAGATAGTGAAGAAAATAAAGAATCTGACTATGATGAAAACTCATCCGTATCATCATCACCATCTGAAGAAGAACCAATTATAAATAAAAAACAATTAAGCAAAATTGAAAAAGAAAGATTAGAGAAAGAAGAGGAGAATAAAAGAATTGAAACTATAAACAAATTAAAAGAGGAAAGAAAAGAAAAAGAAAAAGAGAGAGAAAGAAAAGAAAAGGAAAGAAGAGAAAAGGAAAAAAAAGAAAGAGTACAAGATATTGAAAGATTAGAAAAAGAAAAAGAAAAATTAGAAAAAGAGAAACAAGACAAGAGGACTGAAAGAGAAAAAAGAAAACAAAAAAAACGAGAAAAGAAAGAAAGAAAAGAAAAAGAAATAATTGAAAAAGCTGAAATAGAGAAAAGAGAAAAAGAAGAAAAAGATGAAATGAAAAAATTAGATGAGAAACATAAAGAAGGAAAGAAAGAAAAAATGAAAGAGAAAGGCAAGAAAAAGAAATAGAAAGAAGATTAGAAAAAGAACAACAAGACAAACTAACCCATGAAAGAGAAGAACAAGAAAGAATAGAAAATCAACATAAATTAGAAAAAGAAAATGAAAATGAAAATGAAAATGAAAATGAAAATGAAAATGAAAGAGTATTATATGAAAACCTAAAGAATCAAATTGATGATAACGATGATTGGAATGACGGTGGTGGATATGATGACTCCCTTGATAATCAAGGTTCAACTTCTGCCACCAAGAAGGTGAAACCGCTGATTATGACAACCATGAGCA